TCTTTTATTAATTCACTAATTCCCTGTAGCTCAAGAGATGCTAATTAATTCAAGAAGCCATAATAGCTAATCATTGGCTAAATAAATCTAAAATGGAGACAGTCTGTCACTGGAGATACCACTGCTCATTTTAATTAAAATTACCAATTTGTAAAGTAATGTAAATAAAGGTTATTGTATCCTTCCACTCCGGGAAGTATTAACCCTTTGCATGGCCACCCAAATCTAACAAGACTTAAAAAGCCAAGAATATTTGTGGAGCTTAATCAATAAACTGATTTAGGATATTTATCATTCCAAGTGTGTTATTCATGGACATTATAAAAACCATACGGAATAAAGCTGCCTTGACACATAATAGGGGATGGAGAAGAGCTAAGAGTGGTTGCCTCGAAGGAAATACAATCACTGTGAAGGGAGCAACCACCCCAAAATAAATGATTACCTTTATAAACATTTAGGCCTAGGGAAAAGCAAATGTTCCAGCTCTGAGTTTCCATTTTTAAGGAATAAATTTATGCAAATGTGCATTAGTTCTAGCAGTTTTGTAGCTCAGAGTGATCGCACCTTGTTAACATGCAATACAACTGCTTGTAGCCACATGAATGTCATTTGGAGGGATAGAAAAGGCCGCCTCTTCATTACATGACTAAATGGTAAGGATCAGCCGCAAAGCTCACCTTGGGATACGGATACACCTGCATGCTTAGCTGCTCAAGCCAGCCAACCCAAGAAAGCAGTGTGTGCTGGAGACCATATAGTGTGAGTCATCACTAAATCCTAAGCTGAGACGCCTTGGTGCTCCTGGTAGATTCGCCCTTGCCTCAGAGAAATCCTTCTTTATTGTCTCTCCGATCAGCTCAGGAGCTGATGATAAAGTCCTAAAACTAATTCCTAATAAAACACCAAAATTTTAGACACAAAAAATGAAAAAGCATAGTTCACAGACACCTTTTAGACAATGGTTGGGGAAGTATTATAGTTTAGTCAAAGATACGAAATTAGTTTGAATTGGAAAAAAAAAGTGATATCCTTTGGGATGAAGGTGAAGCTGGCAAAGGAAAATTACTGTCATCTTGTAAAAGGCTACTTGTGAATGGAGCCTCCTGACAAAACAGAAGTCTGGCTGAAACCTGAACCAGATAAACTTGTTATGCAAATAGCTTTAGCCACAGGGGAGAGGGCTGATAATGAAATCTCTACAAAGTCAACCACACATTACATGGGTGACCAAAAACACGGGCAGGGTCCTAGCATATGGATAAAAAGCAATGCAGAATTTAGGTGAGGATCATGTTTAATTTATCATAACTATGCTGTCAGGAGTCATGCTTTGACAAATGCATAACTAACACATATAAATGAGTCAATTATCACTAACGACCAAAGGTTCAGAACCAAACTGATGTTTCTTTTCTTTTCTTTTTTTTTTTAAACCACAAAACATGTTTACTGATAAGATTTGCGACCTTCTTAAAATCTCTCTGAGTGTCTCCAAATTAAAAAGACTGGAAACCTAAAAAACCTCAAGCCACCTCCTAGCACTCATGTCCTGCCCCCCCCACCCCCCGCCACCTCATGTACATTCATAGTCATTCCCCCTCTCATTCACACACACACACTCTCTCTCTCTGTCTCTCGCTCACACACACACATCCTGTCCCCTGTCTTCACAGCTATGATCAGTAGGCTACAGCCAGGTCAATCCCTTTGGACCACCGCACCAATCAATGAGAAGTCATACAGGTCCTTGGTAAGTGGTGACCAACGTGGACAAAAAAAAGATCAAGATTATTGACTCACCTCTGCTATGATTTAGCAGTCACATGGGGATAGGGTATTAAGAGTTTTAAAGCTGCTAAAGAATTTCTAGTCCTGTTTATTCTTTAGAGAGAATCCGTTTACTTACCTTAATACAATGCATTGTTATTCAGTCTACAATGGGAATTGAAACAATTATCTGAAAAATTCCAGCTAAAAACACCTTTCCTGAAATTACCAGAAAATCATCTTCCCCACCCCAGTCCCACCAATAATGAGAAGTTTATAATCTGAAGGCCTTAATCCTCTATCCTGCTCCCAGTTCTCTCCCAATATGAGCAAGATAAGTATAAAAGCAAACTAAGGCTCTCTTTAAATAGACATTTCTAACCCAGTGAGTGTCATTGTTTGTATTTCATTAGAGATTTGAATAAACAGAATGAAATAGTAAAGTCAAACTCAATTGGTAGGGTAATGACAGCCTGGGGTATATGCAGGCTCACCTATGTAACCAAAGATTATTATTTGGGAATAGTGGGCAGGTTTCTACCTAAAGATACAAAATATAATAATTAGTCCCTAATCTTGAGACTCATATTCCTAAAAATCTTGTAAAAAAAGAACTCATGGCTGAGGAATTTAAGATGGTATGGGGAAAGCAGAATTGGGAGCTAAAGTCAGGAAAGAATCTATGAGCAACTATAATACAGAATATTTTCACTAATGAAACCATTAAGGGCAATTCATTAAGTAAACAGAAGACTGAGGACAATTTTCCATATCTTAAATTAGTGGTAAGGCACACAAATCACTTGATTTCTATTTACCTTCACTGGTTCATAAGAACGTTTTCAGACTCTCCCTCTCCTGCCATTTCAACAAGATGCTTTTGTTTTGCCCCGATAGTATGCATACTAAAGGCATAGATTTTTGTGTTCTGTCTTCCATTCTCATATCAAGATCCTCTAAGTCTAAAGCAAATCAGAATGAGTGCATCTGGAGTTCACAGTGTTGGGAAAAACAAGCATATTTAAATGGGCATATAATAGGATCCTGCCACAAAGATAAATCAATAGTTGGAAGGTATTTCCACACTGTTTAACCCTGAGAGTCCCAACCCCAACATCAAGTATGTACCTTTATTCCCAAATCCATCTAAGCAATACCGTGCTTGGTTTAAGAACATGAATATACACTTGAAAATATATATAGAAGATAAAATTTGGTGAGTCAAGTCACATTTTAGAAGCATCACAAGAGCTTGGTATAGGAAGGCATATTTGTGAATATGTAATGGTTTTTTCTAGGCCAACAGCTTCAAGAAGGTCAATCAAGGGAATCTGTATGCAGCAATGGAACAAAAAGGAAAACTCTTTAAATCCAGCCTTTGCTAGCAAAAGCACTGGAACCCAGAGGCCCTGGATTTCTCTCCCTGGGGTGTATTCCCAGCTACCAGGGTGTCTTGAGTTCTCCAGTTCTCTCCGCCTCCCCCTTTGGCTCCCAAATCCCAGGAGGTGCCTCATCCTCTGCTCCTACGTGAGCATCATCCCTCTTGCTCTATCTGTTGCTCCTCTCACTATTGCCTGACATTGCCACTTTGAGCTGTGGCTGCTTCTGCATTCTTCAGGCTTTGTAGAAACACCAGAGTGGGGACTGGAGGGGTGAGGAAATGCCCTGGCCTTGAATTTCATGGTCATATTCCAATACAGCCTTGCTTGGTAGAATTCTTGGAGTACTGAGAAAGATGGAACAAGTCCAGGAGGGGCTGGACAAGCAAACAATTTTAGGGACTGTGAACTATGATGCACTTGAAACAAAAATTAAATATAGGATTACAACTCTTTCTACTAATCCTTGGGGTCAAATGTATTTTGAAATTCAGAATTTTATAAAATTTTAGAAATATAAACCAGTGCATTTACTGTATGTTACATAAAATTCCCCAGCAGGATCTGGGGCAGCACACTATAATCAAACACATTAATAAATCTGCAACAATTCACATGAATATTCACACCGAGTGAGATAAATAATGACTATAAATAGTTTCACTTCAGTTTAGGTCATGTGTTGCCACCAAATCAGTTCACATAAGGCCAGGGCCTGTAGCTAAATGAGTCAAGTACAAAAAAAAAAACAAAAAACGCTTTCATTTCTCAGAGCTTTTTGGATTCTAGAATTGTGGATAAGGAATTACTGATCTGTATGATGAGAGTAAGGAAGATAATCAAGGGACTCCGTTTCTTTCATTGCCCTGCTTTTCTAAGGAAGCTAAGTCTACACATAAGCTTAAGTTAGAGCAATTTGTGTTGACCCTTCCCTATGTACTGTTGATGAGCTATTTGGGGCACTTCTTTTCTCCTCCCATGACCTCTGAACACCTTGTTTGATCTACTAAATTCTGAGCACACCTCTTCCCAGTCCCTGTACCTGGATATGCCTTGTAATGCCTCATCTGGATTTCTGCCCACACAGTTCATCAGGCCCCTAGCCTGGGGTCACACAGTCTCCTCTAGCATCTTCCCCAGATCTGTGTGGTCTTCTACCAGACCAGGGCCCAGGCCAGAAGCTCATATTCCCAGAACTGAGTCACCATCCTGTTGGTGTTACTATTGGTTTTGCTCCTGTCTTAGTCCCATTCCGTCTTGCCTAGCTCCTGGTAACATAGCTCCCATTGGACACGCCACCCATCACTTGGGTTTTCATCTTGTTCTCCCCACCTTGAGCCGTGGCTAGGTCTGTTCACCTTGGTTCCTCAGGCCAGAGATCCCACTGTGCCCACTCAATCATCTTGGCAACTAGAGCTGTGTTCCCACCCCATGGATCCTAGAGCAAAGCCCAACTTCCAAGCTTTAAGACCCCAGTTGAAGGCTGCCTCCCTCTGTCTCTTCCCTGGGCCTAGTGTGCGCATCACAGTTTCAGATGTTGAGTGTCCTCCCTCATTAAAAAGGCCACTGGCAGTATTTGCCCCAGGACAAATAGACTAGATAAATGTGAGTAGATTCTCAGATAAATGTGACCCATAGAATCAGGTCTGATTATAGTCAAAAGTCAAATGGAACTCCCTATTTTTCAAATCCTACAGAAGCATCTTCTGTCATTTACTGGAACAAATTCTGTGTCATAACGTGCTAAAAGGCATAACGACTTCTAGTGCCAAGTAAATTCCACAGCTTGGATTTCCAATCACTGTTCAAGGCCTTGCTGGATTAGCAATTTTTAGTGGAAGAAATACTCACTGCGAAATAAAGTGGATGAATTCCTCACACCATTCTTCCGGATGAAGTAAAGTAGGTGGAGGATTTCTGAAAAACAAAAGCAATTTTTTCTTATAAAAAAAAAAACAGTGTTTAATTAAAGGCAAAATATCAACTTGTCTTTACTGATACTGTTCTAAATAGCTCTGATAAAATCCATTCTGTTTCTTCCTGGGTGGGAGTCATTCATTAGTGATAAATTACAAAGTGCCAGCCCCTATTCATTTAGTCCTTCATTTTCACTGATTAAAGGCCTACTATGTCCATGGCTTTCTCCAGGAGCTGTGAGAGTAACACAGATCAGGACCGTTCTCCAAGAAGACACTAATGAGGGGCGAGGCAAGCATGACCTCTATATGACCACTATAACTGAGAGCTGAGTATTATTAAGGCCATAAGAAAGAAAGCTATAAACCTAGTGCTAGGGGCTTTAGAGAAATTTTACAAGGATTTTCAGATCATTATACTACCACACGAAGTAATTATGTGATGCATTTAAAGTACACTCATACATTCGTTAGTCAAATTTTTAACTATTTCCTCCTGTATGTCAACTTCTGCAATAAGCACTGGAGAAAGCAAAACAGCTCAGGCAGTGTTCCAGACCCTATGGGGTCCCTGGGTAGAGAGGGTGACAGACAAATAACATAACTAAGTACTGGAAGTTCAAGAGAACTAGAGAGTTGCAGAAAGACTCTGGTAACCAGGCAACTTCTGAGAAGGCAGGTGAGAAGGCAGGATAAGGGGAAGGTAAGGGCCCTGCATTTGGCTTAGTATTTACCCAGAGATTAAATTTTAAAACAGAACTGACATTACTTTTAATTGGTAAGCGCTTTTTTTCCTGGCCATAAATGGAAGTAGGGGGCTTCTGAGCAAATCAAGCACACCAAACAGAGAAACTTATGTTTCTGAATGTCTAAAATATGACTGTAAACCTTAAACACATTACATATGTTACCTTTGCTTTCATCTAGGTTTTAACTGCTTCCTAAAGCCATAGATTGCTTAGTTTCAATAGGTGGAAGAATGGGAAGCAGTGAGAATGACAGAAATTTTAAAAAAGTATCAGATAATGTTATTACAATTTGCCTCTCAATACCCAGTCTCTTCTCATTTTTTTAAGTACAGTTTTTATTCTGACACAATGCTGCCATATAAAGACTACATTTTCCTGAGTTTCTTGCAGCTAGATATGTCCATGTGACTAAGTTCTGGCCAATGATAAAACTGTTCAGTGGTGTTTCTAGGAACCCTTCTTAAAAGAGGGGAGATACGCCATCTTCCTTCTTCTCCCTTACTGCTTCCTGGAGTATGGATGTGATGGCTGGAGCTTGAGCAGCCATTTTGGACATGAGGTAAACTTGAAAATGAGAGCTATAAGTGGAGTATGGCAAAGAAGATAGGTAGAAAACTGGATTCATGATGACATGGCAAGCTGTTGTACAAGCTCTAGACTGCTTCCCATTAGTCTTCCTTACCAGGAGAGAAATAAATGTCCATCATTTTTAGGCCATTGTTATAATGCAATTAATCATAAGTGAGCCAATAATAGTTCAGAGTAGTATCCTATCACATGATGAGAACATAAGTTGATAAATGATACAGAAATACACAAAGATATGTGGGAGCATAATTAAGGAAAAAATTTACCCAATCTGGTAAGTCCCTGAAGACTTTCTGAAGAAGATGAGCTTAAACAGACCCCTTAAGATTAGGATGGATTTTTCAAGACAGAGAAGAGGGAAGCCACAACAGGCTTAGAAAACATGTGCCAAATCACAGAAGTATAAAAAAGTCTGGGAAGTTCAAAGAATATGAGTAATTTTTTGAGGCTAGACTCTAGGATTCTTCTGGATCTAGAGAGGGAGAACAGGAGGGAAGGAAGAGTGATAAGAGAGAAGTATATGACTTCTCTGTTATGCATTAGAATTTAATTACCTTTCAGATCTTCTGATTCAAAGACCCAAAGGAAAATTATTTGTGTGCCCAGCTAGAAAGAATAAGCAGCTCAAGGTTGCCCTTCAGTTATTTCGGAGGCTGCCTCTATCTCATTCATTTTATTCAACAATATTTGCCTTTATCTTTCCCTTATATTTTTTAAATAATAAAAATCCCATCATATAACTTCTGCTTCTGGGCTTATTTGAATTGACCTGTTCTTACTGGCTCCAGCTCTTTGAGGTCCCAGCTGTGGGCCTCAGTGTGACCTCTCTCAGTGAGGTTATCCTACATCCTCTCTTAGAGCCCTTTCCAGAACTTGAACTTTCCTTGCTCTTCTTAGGTTTTCTCCTTCTGTTCTCACTGAGGTCAGTTCCACAGAGAAGACGTGCTTAAGCAATTTACTATCTAATAGACTTAATTCACCCTAAAGCAATTAACCATGACCAAGAAGTCACTTGTAGACAGAATAAACAGACTTCATTAAAACAACCTTAGTAGGCTCAACACTGGCCAGCTGAGCATGAAGGGACAGCCCTCTGTTGCAATTAAAGAGTGACCCAGCAAGAGTTCACTGGAGGAATGGATGGCAAGCATCCACTCCTGTGTAGAGAACACTGCACTTTTTTCCTGTTTTCAATCTGGTTATCAGCAGGAACTACAGGCTGGGGCAATGGGTTCCTGAGCTAGCCTGAACCTCTGCAGCAGAGCATAGAGGAGAGAGCAGGAGATCACCACTCACCCAGACCATCACCAATCCCTGGTGGCCTCACATGAACCCCACACAAGGAAACTTCTTGGAAGCTCCAGCATCATAGGAATTTGGTTTCAGAACAGCTTATTAGACCTTGTAGGTAGGTGCTCTGTCTTTCCTGGAGTCGATCTATCATACTCAGGTTCAGTAAATAGAGATCTTGTGAAAGACGGTTATTTGTGTGTAATGAAAACTAAAAGGAATTTGAAAGGCTTTATGGTACTTTGTTTGCAATAGCAATATAAATTCCAGTTCTCTTGCCATCCAGAAGGAGCACCAAAAAGTAACAGTAGTACCTTTTTGGCTATTAGTACCACAAATGCAAGCTGCCACCCTGCCTAGCAGGTCTCTCTCCAAAAGGAGAGATGCTTCCTGTTCAGTGCGATGGGAGAGTCAGTGCGCGTAGCTGTGATTCAGAGACAAGCAGGCACCCCCCACTTACATGTATGGATGCCAAGAGCCTGCAGAATGGATGAATGGTGAGTGGCTGGAAGGACTGTGAATCTAAATAACCAGCTCTCATTTGGATAATGTTTATAAACATACATTTTGTTTTTTGAAAAAAGGCAAAAAGCAAAAATAGTGGTCAGTGTTTGTTTTGCAGCAAGCCATTATAGGGAGAGTGCAAAGCCCAAGCAATGAAAGAGGTCCCACCAAGCTCCTTTCCTCGGAACTACACTCAACTTCTCAGCATCACGCTGTCATAGCCTTGAATCCTGTCTGGGAACATCTGTATGTTGTCTCGATTTATGTTGTGTGTCCGTTACCAATATGTGTCCTAAGGCATCAGAAAAGCCTTTGGTCTTGGAATGCTCAAAAATTATTCTGTATAAATTAATGGCAATTACTTCTTCGTTTTACGTTATTTTGGCTCATAAAAGATTTCATAGGAACACTCTATTTTTCAGGTAGCAGGGAAACCTGTATTTGATCTGAGTTTTGCCTGCCTGGATTTTACTCCTGAGATTTGGACCCCAAGTTCAATTTCTATAAAGATGATCTGCTGCACACAGACAGTATTAGGGCTCGATGAGAGTAGGAGCAATGGGGTGATATTAAAGAGAGTCCTGAACCTATTATTTACCCATTTTTTACCTGGGTCCAGCAAACACAACAGGAATCAAGTTAACCTTCTTCTCCCAAAGCCTAATAAACTGCTTTTCTGAACAGCTGCACTGAACTCATTCTAGTTCCTGAAATGGAGAAGGAGCTGGCTGGAGCGAGCACCTGGCCTCTGGGTAGCCAATCCCCATTTAAACCATTGGCCTATGCCAGGGCATGATGCAAAATGATAATCTGGGCCAATGTGATTCTCTCTAGGTTTTTTCCCCACCTTGAACTGAAAAAAACAAACACAAAACTAACAAAAAAATGAAGGAGTTTACAAAGAGAGCTGAAGCTAAGAGATCCATGACGACAGGGAAGATGGGAGATGTCACAGAGCATAATGAACACACTAAAGTTTTAGGAAGCAGAAACTATGAGTAGGCAGAAAACCAGGGAATGAGGAGAAAACATGCCAGGGAGAGGAGAAAGGAAGAAATGTGTCACAAAGAAACTGAGACCCGGTAGGCTATTCTTGAGTTCCTTTATTGAGTGCTTCTCTCTCTAGTGCGTCTAGAATATTATTGGCCCTAGCATTCTGTTCTTGGCCCTATTCTCTTCCCATTCTCCACATTAATTGAGAGCTCACTACATGTCAGTGGCTCCCTAATCGCTATCTCCTGCCTTGACTTCTCCTCTTTCAGTTAGTGCATCCAACTACTTTCTAGATGATCCATTTTTATTTCCTAGGGGCACCTCAAAGTCAGCATGTTCAAAACCAAACTTCTCTTCTTCCCCTAAGTCTGCATTCCACTTGGTTGTTGGAGTCAGAAACTTGGGTTCTACCCTCTCTCATAACCCCACATCCAATTGGAGAAGGCAGAAAAATGGCTCCCCAAATAAGTCCACATTCTAATGCCCAGAACCTATAAATACTCTACCTTCCACTGAAAAGGGACTTTGCCAATGTGGTTAAGGTTAAGGACATGAAGGATTACCTTAAATTATCTGGATGGACTCAATTTAAACTCTAGTCCTTTAGTTTTTGTTTTGTTTTGTTTTTTGTGTTTTGTTTTTTTTTAAAGATTTATTTACTCATTTGAGAGAGAGAAAGAGCAGGAGCACTGTGGGGAGGGGCAGAGGGAGAGAGAGAATCTCCAGCAGATTCCCCACTGAGTGAGGAGCATGACATGGGGCTCGATCTTATGTCCCCAAGACCACAACCTAAGCTGAAATCAAGAGTCAGATGCCCAACTAACTGAGCCACCCAGGTGCCCCAATCTCTACTTATTTAAAGCAGAAAAGAGAGGCA